TTTTTTTTTTTTTTTTTGTCTTTTTGTTATTTTTTTCAGAACTGAGGACCGAAACCTGGGCCTTGCGCTTGCTAGGCAAGCACTCTACCACTGAACTAAATCCCCCACCCCCCCCCCCCCCTTTTTTTTTGAGACAAGGTTTCTCCGTGTAGTCCTGGTCATCCTGGAACTCACTCTGTAGAGCAGGCTGGCCTCGAACTCAGAGATCCACCTGCCTTCGCCTCCTGAGTGCTGGGTTCAAAGGTATGCGACATTCAGGTATCCTGAATGTTGGTTCAACAGCCAACTTAAAAAAAAAAATGTTGGGGCTGGTGAGATGGCTCAGTGGTTAAGAGCACTGGCTGCTCTTCCAGAGGTCATGAGTTCAATTCTCAGCAACCACGTGGTGGCTCACAACCATCCATAAGGGGATCTGATGTTCTCTTCAAGCAGGCAGATATATAAGCAGCAGAACACTCATACATTAAAAATTTTTAAAAAGTTAACAAAGTTTGACTTAGTGTCAGTGTTAACCGTGTCACCGTGCATGATCACGATGCCTGTTAACTGATGTGGAAGGGCCCTGTACCACTGGCAGAGTTTAGGTCTTGGAATGTGTCATGGGAGATATGAGTGGGCTCAGGCAGGCATTTTCTCTGCTTTTGACTGTGGATGTCTGGTAGCTTCAAGTTTCTGTGGCCCTGGCTTCCCTGCGAGGCTGGACCATAACTTGGAATGGAGAGTTAAAATAAACCCTTCCCTTGATAGGTTGCTTTTGTCTGGGTATTTCGTCACAGCAACAGATAACAAAACTAAGACACATCCATTTGCTTTTACGGCGCAGACACAGAGCCTAGAGCCTCAGTGCGGGCTCTCTTATCACTGAGCTGCGTCCCCAGCCTGGTTTCCAGTTTTCTTCTTTTGAATTTTGGAAGGCTTGGGACTCTGGTGGAAGTGATGGCACCCAAGTTCTGAGACTGCTTTGTAGGACACAGGGCAGCAGCTTTGTGGTTCTCTTGGGACTCTCAGAGAACTCGGCCTCCCATGCTATCTGGGAACCCTAACACCCCATAAAGAGCCCACAATTTATGGGACGCAGCCCTCAGCTCTCAAGTCTGGATGGGTTTCCAGCTAACACACAGTCAAGTCCGATCAGCTAGTCATGAGCTTGGACCACAGTTTGGATGTAGCTTCTCTACCCCCTCCCACTTCAAGTCAACTTACTGTGGCTAGGATGACATGGAACTGTCCCCAGTGAGTCTTGCCCAAACCACACATCTCTCCTCTCCTCTCTTCCCCTCCCCTGCCCTCTTCTCTTCTCTCTTCCCCTCCCCTCCCTTCTCCTGCCCTCCCCTGCCTTCCCCTCCCCTCCCCTTTCCTCTTCTCCCCTCCCCTGCCCTCCCTCCCCTCTCTTCTCCTCCCCTGCCCTCCCCACTCCTTTCTGTATTGGATATGAACTTAGAGCCGTATGTGCTACCTAAAGTCTAGCTTTAATCCTCCTAATTGACTTTGAAGCAACTTACCTGAGGAAAAGCTATGAGCCGGCAAGACAGATGCTTTCAAGTTAAGGTTTTGTTTTTTTAATTTGTGGTTTTGCTTTTTTTTTTTTTTTTTTTTAAGATGATGTCTCACTGTAGCCCAGGCTGGCCTCAAACTTGCTAATAGCTAAGGATGACCTTTGAAATTATAGGCATGCATCACTGTGCCTTGTTTATGCAATGCTGGGGAATGAACCCAGGGTTCCTGCATGAGAGGCAAATGCTCTAGCAACTGAGGTAGAACTCCAGACCTAGAAGCTCCATGAGGAAGAAATGGGATGTGGAAGGGGGCCAGGAGTGTCTAGGGGAAGCTCCTCCTGGTACAGAGCAGCATTGGAAGAAGCAATCCTTCCTTTGAACTAGAAGGCAAAGGCACTAACCATGCAAAGACCAGGTAAGCCGCCGCAGGAAGAGGGGTGCCCCCCCCCCCACCGCAGGGATCTGGCCGCAAGAAGAGGGGTACCCCTCCACAGAGATCTGGAATAGGATGAGAGCTTCATCTTTACCAATACTAACATAAAACTGAGGTGTGAGGGCTGGAAGGATGGCTCAGTGGTGAAGACCATGCCCTGCTCTTGTGAAGGACAGGGGTTCTGTTCCTGGCACCCAGCTGTAACTCCAGTAACTTCCAGGTGTTCTGATGCCCTCTTCTGGCCTCTGTGGGTACTGCATGCATGTAGTGAGCATACATACTTCCAGGCAAAATACTCATACACATAAAACAAAATGAACTAATTTAAATGTGGTGGTTGGAGTTAATAATCCCAAGGGATTATAAGAATGTCACAGTAGTAATTCTTGCAGACATCGTGTGTGGATGATGTCTATGGCTGATACTGTAGACTAGTCCACTTTTTCTCCTCTCGCCTTCTTTGGCTCTCTCTGCAGCAGAGGCTAAATCCTGGAGACTACATCTCCCAGGCTCCCTTGCAGTTAGCAGTGGTAATTGACATGTTGGGTCCATGAGAAGTAACTGGAACTGTTGTGCTGAGGGAGTTAATGCTGCAGAGTTAATGGCGTGTGACACTGCCTACTCTGTCCCACATGGCTGACATCTGAAAGCCAATTTAAGACAGTGAAGTCAAAACCAGAGGCAAAGGTCACCAGGACCACAGAGGAACCCAGTCTGTGTCACCTAGGTATTCACTCCATTATAGAAATGCTGGGTGAGAGGCTGGGTTTCACCCATGAAGCTCTGCTTAAAGCACAAGCACCATATAAACTGAGTATGGCACACAGGTGTGGCACACAGGTGTGGTACACAGGTGTGCAGCACAGGTGTGGCACACAGGTGTGGTACACAGGTGTGCTGCACAGGTGTGGTACACAGGTGTGGTACATGCCTGTAATCCTAGCAGAGGCAGCAGAATCACAAGACCATCTTTAGCCAACATAGTGAGTTAGCAGACAGCCTGGGCTACATGAGAGCTTGTCTCAGAAATGAGCCAGGTGTCAGGGGCAGCCCTGCTTATACACCGAAGGCCTAAAATCAGCCATAGCCCTAAAATCAACAATAGGCCTGACATACATGCCTGTTAACAAAGTCTTGGGTCTCTGTGGAAAAACACTGAAACAGATGACTAGAAGCTATTGTAAACAAGCAGCTTTGATGGAAAATTGCCAGGCTGAATAGTCACAGATCTTGTAGCTAGGTAACCTTGGTGGATAGTACCAACTTAGATAAGGACAAGAGAATCATAGGCGGAGTCATAGTGGTCTGTCTCTTGAACCTTCACCCAGCTGACACTCTGTTCTGGAAGATATCTGTACTCCCCCTGAACATCTACGCTCCTGTGTCATCCCCTTCCCCACGTCCTGCCTTTTTGTGTATATAACCTGTGTGTGAAAAAGTAAAAATGGTGATCTGATCAGACTATCGACAGATCGTCACTTCTTTTCGTCTTTGCCTGTTACCACCCCCCCACCCTCCCACTCTCTTTCAGGTGACCTCCCTGGACCACTGTTTAATGCCCTGCTGGACAGCCAGGCACTAGGTAGGTGGAACAGTTATTAAGAGCACTAGCTGCTCTTTCAAAGGACCTGAGTTTGGTGCCAATATCTGTGGAGTGGGTAAGACCACAGTCTGCCTGTAATTCCATCTCCTGAGGATATACCCTCTTCTGGCACTGACACACATGTGTTATACACTCACACAGACACATGCACATAAACAAAAATAAAAATGAATATTTATTTAAACCTGAACAGGGTAAAAGAAATGAGTTCCTATTTATTAGGATGGTTGGGTGTTACCTTGGGCTTACACATATACTGTTATTTGTGCTGACACAGTATTCGATGCCATGAGTCTGAAAACCATTCTTTTAGCCATTAACATCGAGGCAGAGGAATAAAAGATGACCTGGGACACACTCTGGGTTCAGAGGTGTTTAAAGTTAAACGACAGGAGGGAGTCACAAGGGAAACAGAGGTTGCCAAGGTAGGGTGGGGCAGGAGAAGGGATGGAGCCAGGAGCACATGGGAAAGGAAGCTTTCCCCACCCCCAGCTTCTCTGTCCCCTCCCGTGGTCCCCTCGGGGGCCCCATCCTGGCTCCACCTCTGCCCCATTGACAATATAGAGCACCACAGCTGGTGACTCTCAGGCTTTGGATGCCGACAGACACACAACCATGCCTGCAGACCTCAGCGGTACCTGGAACCTTCTCAGCAGCGACAACTTCGAGGGCTACATGCTGGCCCTGGGTAGGACCCTAAGGGCTGTGCAGCCAAGGGGAAAACGGTGGGGAGCAAGGCCTTGGGTCTCCAGGGTTGAGTGAAGGCAGCCTGTCCTGTCTGTTCCAGGTCCTTCTGTCTCCTGTGGGTTATATGCTCTCGTCTGGTCAGTGCCTGCTCTTGTCCCAGAGTCCCTGCTCCTCTGTCCATCCTCTTTCTTCTGACCGCCTTGTCTTGTCAGCCTGTCAGTCATTCCTGCCCACACCTGTCTGTCCCTCGACTTCCCTCTGTGTCCCTCTAATCTCAGGTGTGCCTGTACTCCTGTCTATCCAACTTTGCGTGGGTACGGTTGGGAGCGGCTGGGGCTCCTAGGGGCAGGGCGGGTCCTGGCGCTCTAAACCAGGCAGGCAGCAGTTGCAGTCTGCGTGAGAATTCAATTTCCCCACTGGAGCTGAGCCTGCTTGACCAGTGTTGGGAGTCCAAGGCGACTCCTGCAGATGAATGGACAGAGTCAGCCTGAGCTGCCCGTGTCTGCGGTGGGAGAGCTGCTCCCTAGTTCCTGAAGCCTGTGGTCACCGGTGGGGTGCGTGGGTCCACGAGAGAGGGTCTGATCACTGTCCCTGCTTCCTAAAAGACTCTCTCGGCATGGCGCTGCCCCAGCAGCTTGCTCTGGCTCTGCAGATTTGGGCAACTATTCTTGGGTACAGAGCACTCTAGTCTGTTTGCCAGGACTTGTGTTGGGATTTATTTGTTTGGGTTTTTTGTTTGTCTGTTTTGAGATTAAGGTCTCACGTTGTAGGTCAAGCTGGCCTAGACCTCACTTTGTAGACCCAGGAAATCCTCCTCTCTCGGCTTCCCAAGTATAGGGATTAGAGACCTAAGCTACCATACCTTGATACACTTGGTACTTGACATACTTCCTTTTGTCCTCAAGTAAATAGAACCTGCTCCAAACCTCCAGTAAAAGCAATTTTTTAAAAAAATTATTCTTTAGGGGCTACAGAGACAGACTCAGTCACGCACATGGCAGCTCACAACCATCTGAATGCCCTATTACAGGGAATCGGATACCCTCTTCTGGCCTCTGTGAGCACTGCACACATGTTGTGCAGGTATTCATGCATACACATTAAATAAATAAATAAATAAAATGTATAAAAGTTCTCTTTGAGTCAAGTATAGTGACACACACCTATAATCCAGTATTTGGAAGTTGAGGCAAGAAGATTGGACATGTAATGTCACCTTTACTTATACAAGTTCAAAGACAGCCTGTGTTATGTAAAATCCTGCTTTAAAACAAGCTGTTCTCTGACTTACACATGCATACCCACACATACATTAACATAAATAATTAAAATAAAAAACTGTAATAAGAACAATAACTTTTTAGGTATTGACTTTGCAACTCGTAAGATTGCCAAGTTGTTGAAGCCACAGAAAGTGATCGAGCAGAATGGGGATTCCTTTACCATCCACACGTGCAGCAGCCTGAGGAACTACCTTGTTAAATTCAAAGTTGGAGAAGAATTTGAGGAGGATAACAAAGGCCTGGATAATAGAAAATGCACGGTAAGGGGTTAGGCTGCAGCTAAGGGCTGCGGCTCTCACTTAACAAGCATGAGGCCCCGGTAAGATTTCAAGCACCATAGAAAAACGTAGGCGTGGGGCTGGAGAGACAGCTCATCAGGTAAGAGTATTTGGGCTCTTGTAGAGATTCCAGGATTCAGTTGCTAACACCCACATGGCAGCTCAGAGACACCTGTATCTGTAATTCCAGGGGTGCCCTCTTCTGACCTCTGTGAGTACCAGACATGCACATAGTACACATACATGCATGTAGCCAAAATACATACACAAATAAAATTCAAAAAAAATTAAAATGTAACATAGGCTGCAGATTTCACAAAGTTAACTCTGCATGCAGTCTACCTTGGTGATGTTTAAGGATGCTGCCAGAGCAAAGCACCGTCTCTCTCTTCCTTCACACAGAGCCTGGTTACCTGGGAGAACGACAGACTCACTTGTGTACAGAAGGGAGAGAAGAAAAACAGAGGCTGGAGCCACTGGATCGAAGGGGACCAGCTCCACCTGGTACTGACTCACCCCGTTCTTTTGAAAACGTTTTGGGGGAAGAGTGGGAGAAGAGGTTAAAATCTCTATTTCTTTATTTGTATTTGTATTTGTGTGTGTGTGTGTGTGTGTGTGTGTGTGTGAGACATGCATGCAGTACCTGCAGAGACCAAAAGAGGGCGCTAGATCCCCTTGTAACCGGAGTTACAGGTGGTTGTGAGCTGCCCTATAGGGGTGTTAGGAACTGCACCCTGATCCTTTGCAAGGCATTAAGGACTCTCAACCACCGAACCATTTCTCTATCCCCTTGTTTGTTTGTTTTTTTTTTTTTGGTTGGTTTGGTTTGGTTTTCGAGACAGGGTTTCTCTGTGTAGCCCTGGCTGTCCTGGAGCTCACTCTGTAGACCAGGCTGGCCTCGAACTCTTATTTTTTTTTTAACTATTTCAAAAAATTGTCATCAACTGTATATTTTGATCATATTCTATCTAAGTCCTCCCAGACTACATTTTATCTCCCTACCCACCTGAACCCAAAAGAAATAAATTTTAAAAACCAACCCCCCCCCCAAAGACAATAGAAGCATGGAGTCCATTTTGCAGTGATCACTTCTCCTGCACACGAGGTGTGCCCCGGAGAGCAGCTGATGTATGGCGCCATAGGAGAAAACTGGTTTCTCCTCTCCCAGAAGATATCAATTGCAAATCGGGTTTTGGCTGGGCGAGGGACTCTGGGTCATTTTTCTTCTCAGTGCTGGGATTTGTCTGGCTTGGCATTGTGCAGGTCTTATGTATGCTGTCACAGGCTCTGTGAGTGTGCTCACACTCCAGCCCTGCTGTGTCTGGGAGAGGCTGCTCCCTTGGAGTCACCCACCACCTCTGGCTCTTCGAGTCTTTCTGTCCCATCTTCTGAAGCCCTAGAGCCTCCAGGGCTGTCTTAAAGCATCCTGTTCAGGGCGGAGTGCTCCAAGGCCTCTTGCTGTCTGACTGCTGTCCAACTGTGGGTCTCTGTTCATTATCATCTATGGCGAGAGGAAGCTTCTCTGTTCAGGGTTGGACAATGCACTGATGTGAGTCCCAGATGAGTGTTCTTTGTTCTTATTTTTAAAGAGCTAATGAGGTAATACATACACACACATACACAATACACACACACACACACACACACATACACACACACACAAAACCCTTGGACAGCCACTCTACTCTTCTCTTTCTCTCTTCAAGTCTAAGACGTGTAGAAAGATCTTGAGGGAATTTTTGTTTTCTCTTATTTTGTTTTGTTTTGTTTCAAGACAGGGTTTTGCTGTGTAGCCTTGGCTGTCCTGGAACTCACTCTGTAGACCAGGCTGGCCTTGGACTTACAGAGGCCTGCCTGCCTCTGCCTCCCAAGTGCTGGGATTAAAGGCCTGTGCCACCACTCTAGGCTTGCTTTTGTTTTTGTTGCTATTGTTTTGTTTTGAGACAGCATCTCTCTTCATAGCCCTGGATATCTTGGAATTCACTATGTAGACCAGGCTGGCCTTAAAGTCAGAGAGATCCACCTGTTTCTGCCTCCTGAATGCTGGGACTAAAGGCATGCACTATCATTCTAGGCTGAATTGATCATGCTTGGTTTGGTTTTTAAGATGTATCCAGGACAGCCAGGGCTATACAGAGAAACCTTGTCTTGAAAAACAAAACAACAACAACAAAAAAAAATTTATGTATGTGAGTACAATGTTGCCATCTTCAGACACACCAGAGGATGGCATTGGATCCCATAACAGATGGTTGGGAGTCACCATGTGGTTGGTGGAAATTGAACTCAGGATCTCTGGAAGAGCAGTCAGTGCTCTTAACCGCTAAGCCATCTCTCTAGCCCTGACCATATATTTAAACACACGCACACACACACACACTAAGGTAGTGAGCTGACTACTTCATGTTCCATCTGGCTGATGGACTGACATTTTAATGAAACACATCCTTGAGTTAAGTGTCTAAGAATCTTGTTCCAGGGGCTTGGGGCGTCGCTCTCTCTGTTGGTAGAGTACTTGCTCAGAGTGTGTGGAACTCTCCATCTGAGCCCACATCTGTGAGCTCAGCACCTGCAAAGTGGAGGATGCGGGAGGGTCAGAGGTTCAAGGTCAGCTTCAGCTTCATAACAAACTGGAGGTCCGCTTTGATGCTATGAGATCAGGAAAATAAGAGTGTTTCACGGTGGTCTCTGCGATCAGTGAAACTCAGTCCATGGTGCATCTTGTTATGTCGAGAGGCCGGAGGCACAGCTCACTGCCTCTGGCTGCTGTGGGGCCTTATTCCTTCACAGAGGGGCGCTGGTTTGTTTCACAGCCAGAACTGCGTGACTACAGGTCACAGCTCAAACCAGTCAATACTTCTAAAGTGCAATCTAGAAGGTATAAAATCTGCAAAGCATAAACAACCAGGGCTGGGTAAGGTGGCACACACCTTCAATCCTAGCACTTGGGAGGGAGAAGCAGGTGGGTCTTTGTGAATTTGAGACCATTCCTGGTTTTCATAGTGAGTTCTGGGACATCCAAGGCTATGTAGAGAGACCCCATCTATATGTATGTGTGTTTATACATACATGTGCACACACATATGTATAACTGTACCTGTGTTTGCAAGTTTACACTAACTCCAGTAGAGACTGTCAGGATCAAATTGTTGGACACCCATTTGCTGTCAGTATGAGAGGGATGGAGAAGATTGTACATCTGGTATCAGAGCTGTTGAAAATGTACATTAACTTTTTTTTCTTTCTTCTTCCCTCTCTTCCTGTCCCAGGAAATGTTCTGTGAAGGCCAAGTATGCAAACAGACCTTCCAGAGAGCCTGATCCATGTCCAGCAACAGAGCCCACTTGGGGAAACTGCTTGATGCCAAATTATCTTGCAGAAGGAACGGGTGTTTATTTGGTTTGGGTTGATGAAGGGCCTTGTAATTGGAAAGATGTCACACAGCCTGTTCCAGAAACTATTTGATTTCAGGACATTTTCAGCTCCAATAAACCTGTTCATATGATGCTGATTTTTTTCTTTCTACATTTAACATGATTTATTTATTTGTTTATTAATTTATTTATCTGAGGGGCTGGGGACATAGCTCAGAGGATAAGAGCATTGGCTGCTCTTCCAGAGGTCCTGAGTTCAATTCCCAGCCACATGGTGGCTCACAGCCATCTGTAATAGGATCCGATGCCCTCTTCTGAGCTACAGGCATACATATAGGCAGAATGCTGAATATATAATAAATCTAAAAAAAATATGTATTTGAGACAGGTTCTTACTCTGTAACCCTTGCTCACCTGGAATTCACTATGTAGACCAGGTTGGCCTTGAACCCACAGACATTGCCCATCTTTGCCCCCTGAGTGCAGGGATTAAAGGGCCAGGCCACAACCTACTATTTTTTTTTTAAAGATTTATTTATTATTTTATTTATGAATACACTGTCGCTGTCTTCGGACACACCAGAATAGGGCATCCAATCTCATTATGGATGGTTGTGAGCCACCATGTGGTTGCTGGGATTTGAACTCAGGACCTCTGGAAGAGCAGTCAGTGCTCTTAACCACTGAGCCATCTCTCCAGCCCCCCACAACCTACTATTTTAAGGAATGTTTGAAAGCAATGTGCAGAGTACATACTGGGGAACAGGATATAATTCCTGCCTCTGAGGCTAGTGAGAAAGGTTTCAAAATAGCTTCTGAAGGTGGACAGGTGGTGGCACTGGCCGGGTGTGAGGCTGTAGAGGTGGCCTTGATACACATGCCAACAGGAAGCACTTTAGCTGGAAGGCCAGGAGTTCTTTCAAGGGATTTGGTTGCTTGTTCTTGTATGGGGTCTCACACTGAGGCTGGCCTTGAATTTATATCCTTCTACCTTGGCCTCCCGCTGCTGGGAGTTACTGACATGGTACTTCACATCTGGCTCATATGGGCACATGCAGTCTGGTGCTCCAGAGTGGTGCTCCACTTAACTGAGCACAGGACGTGCATGGGTAGGTGAGAAGAAACTGGAATAAGGGAGATCATCAAAGGTCTACTATCAAAGACCTTAAATAACAAGTCTTAAAAATCAGAGTTTGGTTGGCTGGAGAGATAGCTAAGAGCACTGGCTGCTCTTCCAAAGGACCCAGATTTAATTCCCAAAACCCACATGTCAGCTAACAACTATTTGTAACTCCAGTTCCAGGGGATCCAACCCTTTTCTGGCCTCTGTGGGCACCAGGTGTGCATGTGGTACATGCAGGCAAAATTTTCATACATTTAAATAAAAATCAGGAGCCAGCAAGATCGCAGTGGGTAAAGGCCCTTGCCCTCCTCTGACAGTATGAATTCAATCCCCACTTGGTGAAGGAGAGAACTGATTCCCCACAAGCTGTTCTCTAACGTCCACAGGAGCATTATGGCATGCATATGTACACGCATGCGCGCGCGCGCGGACACACACACACACACACACACACACACACACGCATGCACCCGCGCACTGGTCAGACTTGTCCCCAGTGTAAGAGGAAGATCACACTAAGAAAGTGCGGAGATCGATTATCAGTTTGACAGGAACTAGGCTAGCCTGAGACCTGCTCTGGGCATGCTTTGAGGGAATGTCTGAATTTAGTTAATTGAGGTGAGGAAACCGGCCCTAACTGGGAGGCACCATTGCCTGGACTGAACAAAAGGTCCTCAAACCCCTGCTGCTGCGAGACTCCCAGGCTTTGGAGGGCTGCAACCTGGGACTGAGTCAGCACAAAGCCTTCCTTCTTTACCTTGCTATCCTCAGGGTATTTTTCCACAACAGTAGAATGGAATCTAGGCAGTAGGGAAGCTGCGTGATCAGAGAGGAGATAGGGCTGTCGGTGGGGGAGACTCTTGGAGACGTAGATAAGAAAGTCCCGGTAGAAAGCCCGGGGCAAGTCCCCTTAACAGGCAAAGACTGCGTCTGGAGCAGAAACAGCCATTGTAGATGAGGAATCCGCAGTTCAACTGGTGAGTAAGGCCGGATGCAAGGTGAGGACTGTGGTAAGATGACCGTTTCGGCCTCCAGCAGCAGAAGGAGGAGGAAGCCCACTGGGAGCGAGCAATGTGGTGGAAGCCGGAAGTGGGGCTGCAGCTCCGCGAAGGGGCGGGGGCTGCTCAGCGGGGGAGCAGACGAGGAATGGCGGGAAGCCGAGCACCGGGTTTCAAGGCCATGGGACTACCCAGATGAGAACAGCATTCGGAAGCCCGGTTGAAATCACAGCATCAGGAATCTCAACACAATCAACATTCCCTGTCATGGTGGTCAACGTAGAGACAGTGTAACACTTAGGCTGGAAGCACAGTTCATTCAACATTTTTTTTATGTGAAAAAAAAATATGCATATGAAACATTATGTTGGCCACCTTCACAGCGAATGCTAACTGTGCTGCGGCTCTAGAAGCTGCGGCTTCAACTAGGGACTCCTTTTATGTTCCACATCAGGATGGTTTTCCTGTCTTTCTATCCTGCCTCAGTGAGACTCAGTAAAGATTTAGGGGAACACTAGACAGACTAGGATTCAAGTATCTGAGGCCTAAGCCCCCACAGTTTAATGCCCGGAAACAACCTAATACTTTTAGGAGCCTAAGGAAGGACTTCCGTGGAGCCAATGACGTGCTAGCTGCACCAGGCGCTGGATGCAACTTCCCTCCCCTGACTCCCGCTCCTTCTCTGCAGGCTGGCGCCAGCTGGAGGGGCTCAGGGGCTCAGACTGGAACCAATGGCCACTTTGAGTTTCAACTCGAAGCGTCCACCAGGGGGAGGCTGCAGGAGCTCGCTGTGCAGAGCTGAGGAGGGCTGCCACGTGTCGGATGAGGACTGCGGGGAACCACGGAGCACCGAGGAGGCTCGCTCCTTCCCCAAACCCAGGGTTGGGCTGTCTATGCAAAGGTGTAGTGACACGGAGAAAAGACAAATTTTTAAGGAATAAAAGAGGAAGCTTTTCGCGACGCTGCTTCTGCAAGGTATCTGAAGCAAGCCAGCTTTCCTGGGAGGATCAAGAATTCCAACTCCACAGTGTGGACTCCAGGGGAGCAGGAGAGCGGTGGAGCGGGAGAACAATGGGAAGTCTGTGTTTAAGGAGGTGACCTGCAGTTCTGCACGCAGACACCCGAGGGAAGCAGAGGGGACACTTGGTCCTTGGTTTTAGTTAATTTTTATTTATTTTTTGTTTATTCTTGCCCAGTAGGAATAGAGAAATCTTTCTAAAAAATAAACAATTTCGAAAAACCTAAAAAAATAAATCAATTAATAAAAGCAAGCAAACAAAAACAATTTTTAAAAATTAGTACACAAACACACACACACACACACACACATCCTTTCTGGTGGGTTGGAAACAAGATCTCATTTTGTAGCTCTGGCTGTCCTGGAACTCAGTATGTAGACTAGGCTCCCCTCTAATCCACCAACCTCTGCCTCCTTGTGCTGGTATTAAATATGTGGGCCACCACACCCAGCTTTTTTCTTTCTTTTAATTGTGGTAAAAATACATATATGAGGGTCAGGGAGATGGCTCAGCACACAAAGGCACTTGTCACTAAGCCTGACAACTTGTGTTTGTGATACCTGGCATCCACATGACAGGAGGAGAGAACAGAGTCCTGAAGCTTGTCTCTGATCTCTGTTAGCACTTGCACACACATAATAAATAAATAAATAAATGCAAATAAAATACACATAGGGTGGCATAAAGCCTTAGAGATATATTGCCAAAGTAGAAATGTGCTGTCTCCCTGGGAGCACGATTGGCTAGCATACAGAGGCCCTGAGTTAAGGCAAGCATTGCAGACAGAAAAAAACACGTAAAATCGACCATGTTGGTCCCTTTAAACAGTACAAATGAGGAGCTTGAAGAACATCCATACTGCTGAGTGTGGTGGCACACACCTTTAATCCCAGCACTCAGGAAGCAGAGATAGGTGGATCTCTGTGAGTTTGAAGCCAGCCTGACTCTCTCTCTAGAGAGAGAGTTGGATCCAGGACAGCTAGGACTACACAGTCCCTAAATAAATAAACAAGCTCATTTATACTGTCAGGTATGGAGACACTTATGTAATCCCCAGCACTGGGAGCCAGGAAGTACAGGACTCAAGGTCTGTGCCGGGAACTCAAGGCCAGTCTAGGTTACACAAAACCTATCTCAAGCATGCAAATCAAAACCAAACCAAAACAAAGGGCGTTGTTTCCATTGCTGTGCCGACACCACTACCTGAATAGTGCTTTCCCAATTCCACATGGATGCTATGTCCCCATTAAACACCACTCCCCGGACCCCGAAACCACCGTTTGCTATCTGTCTTTAAGAATGTCACCGCTCTAGGGACCTTGGATGTGGGAGATATTGCAATATTTTTATTTGCAGATGTGGCATTGTGGTGTGTGTGTGTGTGTCTGTGTACGTGTGCATGTGGAGGTCAAAGGCCAAAGTTAGGTGTCTTCCTCGATTGTTCTCTCTCCCCTTTGTTTTTTGAGACAGGATCTCTTACTGATTCTGGAGCTTGCTCATTTATCTAGCCTGGTTGGCCAGTGAGCTCCAGGGAGAGGGAGCTGCCTGTCTCAACACCTCCTGAACACCCAGGGCTAGGATTACAGGCTTACACAGGCGTGCACTACAACACCCGGCTTTCATGTGAGTGCTTGGGATTTGAACTCAGGTTCTCATGCTTACACTGGGACCTGTCTCCCCAGCCCCAGTGTCTGAATTATTCCACATATTGTTAATCTCTAAAGTCCATCTGAGAGTGAGTCAGAATTCCCTCTCTTTTTAAGGCTGAGTTACATAAAGATTTTGGTTTTTTTAATGAGTATATGGATGTGTCAGTGTATGCCACATGTGTATGCCACGTGTGTGCTGGTGTCTAAGAAGACTTCCTGGAGCTGGAGTTACAGTGGTTGTGAACTACCGAGTGTGAGTCCTTGAAACTGAACTCTGGTTCAGTTTCTGCAAGAGCAGTGCATGTTATTATTATTATTATTATTATTATTATTATTATTATT